CTCTACCGGTCTATACCGGTCTATACCAGTCTACCGGTCTATATCGGTCTACCGATCTATACCGATCTACCGGTCTACCCGTCTATACCGGTCTACCGATCTATTCCGGTCTATAACGGTCTACCGGTCTATACCGATATACTGGTCTATACCGGTCTATACCGGTCTATACCGGTCTATAACGATCTACCGGTCTATATCGGTCTATACCGGTCTACACCGGTCTACCGGTCCATACCGGTCTGTACCGGTCTACACCGGTCTACACCGATCTACCGGTGTATACCGGTCTATAACGGTCTACCGGTCTATACCGATCTACCGGTCTATACCGATCTATACCCGTCTATACCGGTCTACCGATCTATATCGGTCTACCAGTGTATACCGGTCTATACAGATCTACCGGTTTATACTGGTGGATACCGGTCTATACCGGTCTATACCGGTCTACCGGTCTAAACCGGTCCAAACCTGTCTACCGGTCCAAACCGGTCTCCAGCTTCAAAACGGTCTACCCGTTCTAACCGGTCTCCCGGTTCTAACCGGTCTTCCGGTCTAAACCGGTGTACCGGTCCAAACCGGTCTACCGGTCCAAACAGGTCTACCGATTCAAACCGGTCTACCGGTAAAAAACGGTCTATCGGTGTAAACTGGTCTATCGGTGCAAAGCAGTCTACCGGTAAAACTGGTCTACCGTCCAAACCGGTCAATCGGCCCAAACCGGCCTACCGGTTCAAACCAGTCTACTGGTCTAAACGAGTCTACCGGTGTAAATCGATCTACAGGCCTAAACCAGTCTACGGTCAACACCTGTCTACTGGTCTACCGGTTCAAACAGGCCTACCGGTTCAAACCGATCTACCTGTCTAAACTGCTCTAGCGGTCTTCTGGTAAAAAACCGTACTACCAGTCCAGACCAGTCTAAACCGGTCGATACTGGTCAATCTCTTTCACTTTCCTGCTCTATGATTGTATTCAAGGTAGGAGGGTAACCCACAAGATAGTTCACTGCAGAAGAAGATTTCATTTTAAGTTTCAGCCTGTTGTCTGTGGATCGATATTTTGTCGATAGGCCGAGTTTTCTTGATAAACTGGCCTATCATCAATGTCCCGTTTACTACCGGTAGACCGCTTTAGATCGGTTTGGACGGATGGACTGGTTTCGACCGGTAGACCGGTTTGAACCGGTAGACCGGTATAGACCGATAGACCGGTAGACCGATATAGACCGGTAGACCGGTATAGACTGGTAGACCGGTATAGACCGGTAGACCGTTATAGACCGGTAGATCGGTATAGATCAGTACACCGTTATAGAC